CCTTTGTGTTGATAATAATTAAATCACTTCGATGATGGCAGCAAGCGCTAATAAAGAAGACTGGAGAATTGAAACTAACCTGACGACATGTATCTATCTTATTTAATTAAGACGCTGAGTAAAAGTGTTGTCCCTTTAGGAAACGTGTCTACAGCGTTTGACCCATCCTTGAACGCTGCCATGATCTTGATCTAGGTTTGATCAGGATTGTCTGTTGTGCATGTTCTGCGTCCATGGATGAAATCAGAGAATCCCAGACAGATGTCGACCTTGGAACCTTCGTGCTTTGAGGAAACAGTGTTGCAGTATACACTATCGGTCAAAAGTTCAAATTTTTCCAGTTATTTATTGCATTTCAAGTCATGCAAGTCCAATGAAGAGCTTGAAATGGAACAAAGGTAGAGCCAGAGGTTTAAAAAAAAAAAAATTAAACATAACAAAACACAGTGTCCAACACAGTCTCCAGATTTAAACCCCATCGAGCTGGTTTGGGATGAACTGGACAGAAGAGTGAAAGACAAGAAACCTACAAGTGCCACACATTTATGGGAACTTCTACTACAGACTTGGGAAGAACTTTCTGAACAATTTTTGATTTCTATTGTAGAAAGAATGCCATGTGTGTGTTCAGCTGTTATATCTGCCAAAGGTGGACACTTTCATGAATCAAAAGCTTAGAATTCTAGCCTGATTCGCCATCTGACTTTGTAGTATTAGGATTTGTTTGTTCGACGATAGGCAGGTACTTTATTTATTTAACCAATCACTGCAATTTGGTCGTGACGTATGTAATGTGCTGCTAAGGGAGCTAACTGGTATATTAAGCTTTTCCCAAATCCCATAGGAAGAAGGACAATAACGTCTTTCCCCTTGATAAAATTCACCAAACATTCTCTTTATTCTGGCTTTAAATCCTCGATCTCTGGAATTGTTGCCTACATGGAATGTATGGCTCTTCACTGATTGGCTGGTGCCTGGACTCACACTTCTGGGATTCTTGCAAACCGTTTAGTGTATTCCAATTCCTGACCTAGCCGCCGGAGAGAAATTAAATTGAGCGGAGTCACTAGGTGGTGCCAGCCTGGCTAACACTAAACAGGAAACAAATGAAAAGAGCATGGTGTTCTAAAACTACCCAAATTATGACCCTCAGGACTCCTGCTGAAATGCCCCAATTTATCATAAGCAAATTTAGACTAATTTGTAATCTGATTTAGTTAGCTTAAAAGCACCCATCTGAATAACTCACTATAGGCGAGTTTCAGCTGACGTCATTGTTATTAAAAGCCCGTGTTGCATGCTGGGAAATATTTTGGTCGGAGGCAAGAAACACGGTAGCGGGTCAAACACAGTGCATAACCTTGCGTATTTATCCCCGATAATGGCAAATTCCTGCTGCATTATTGGATGCACAAATAGACGCACGGAAGAAGAAAAATGTCTTTTTCATATTCCAAGTGAAAAGAATCACTAACGGTGAATTAAATGACTTTCAAACATTCATAGAGCAAACGTAGAAGATCCTAGCAAACCGTGGACTCCAACAAGTTCAACAACACATCGAGACTCTTGTAGGTTTTCATCTTTTCTGCTGTGAATGACCCAGGAGTTTCCACCAAGTCATTTTGGATATCGCTGAAGTGAATATTTGTCCAGGTAGTTGGCGATTCTGACCAGAAATTTGGTTTGGTCCACTTTTTGTCGGGGTTGAAAAGGGTGATTTGGCTCCATCGATGCTTCTGACCAATTTCTGGTCAAATGGTCTTGGGTCCTCTGCCGTTAGAGTGGATAAATAACCGGGATCAATACCCTTTACGTGCTTTCTTGCTCCATCCGTCATGTTGAATTAGTGTTTCTTGCCGCCGACCAAAATAATTCCCAGCATGCAACGCGCGCTTTTGTCAACAATGAAACTCGCCTATTAACCACTTCCACTTCAAAATTGTTTAGATATGCAGCTGTCGGAAAAACAGTTTGGACAGGCCTGTTTTAGAAGAAGAGTTACAAATCTTCTTCCTCTGCTCTTCACATGTTCACCTCATAACATGGAATCATGAGTTAAGACAACAAAGTTTACCTCTAAAAACGCCTGTCGCACATAGGGTTTATTTGACAGAAGAGCACAGCGTGAAATAGGAGCGAAGAGTGCGGGAGACATTCAACAAATCAGTCTCTCCACTGAGGCGAGCAGCGTGTGCAGCCTGTGATCTGTGCTGCAGTTTAGACAACTCAACTACCAGGCAGCGATAACAAGTTCACATTTCCTCAATAAAAAATGCCAACACATCACATATCTTGACATTATTATAACCATATATTTAAAAAACTTGTCATAGATTAACTTTTGTCATTGACAGAGGTGATTTGTGTGCTTGTTATGGTCCCGTTCTGACTGTGGTTATTGCAGAGTCATGCTGTGGCCGTGCAGCTCATATAAGCGAGCGCTGATGACAGTGCAGAGTCTAAGGGCTGAGCTGTTGTGTAAGATCCTTTTTTATGAGTGTTGTGTCGCCATGGCGCTGTGCCAGTGTCTGCTCGTCCAATCACACCGCACGTCTGTCTGGATCATTCACAAAGTCTCCGAGGACCAAAGTGCAGCTATGAAACGTTATGAATGAGCTCAGAGGACCATTCATAACAATGTGCAAACTGCCATGTTAAAGCATTAAAGCAACACGGTGTCACTTTTCTAGGTCAATACAAAATCCGAACCAGACTTTTTGATGTTCTCCATGGGGATATGAATGTTTTATGCCTTAAGGTGGAACATTTTAGCCAAAGCAATTACATTTATGCGGCAAAAAACAGGTGGACGCCCTTTGCTGCAGGCCACGTTTGAGCCAGGTTTGTGGAAATGCAAGCCTGCTCACAGAATGAATGCACATTTTTAAAGATTTTATTATTCATACTGAAAACATATATCTTTATTTTAGTGTATCTTTTGGCTAAATATCTTCCCTGGTGGATGGTATGACTCCTGCTTTTGCATTTATTCAAGTACAACTCAAATACCTCGAAAAACTTCCATTCTTGTGAGTGCGGTTCCTATCTCTACAGATCTGACTTGTAATTGTCCTAGATATGTTTTTTTGGAAATCTGGTCATTCAACTGTCAGCGATTGCAATACCCGATAACAGAAAAGTGACATAGTGCCTTTAAATTCACCTTTGCTTAGTCAGCAATACTCAACCCTCAATGCTGAGCTTATCTTGGTCAATAAATAGCTTATCAAGATATAACTCCGCAAAATGCTTCAGCGGACAAGAGCTTATCACTTTCTTGACAAAGCAGTTGATACTTTGCAGCTGGTGTCATCAACATTCCCTGGGGGGTGTGTGTGTGCAGTACCCTCCTCCAGAAAAGTTACACAGTGCACCTTTAAATAGTGTTCGTGGTGATCCATTTGTTCAACTTCTGAGAGCAACAACATTTGCATTTTTCTTGTAAATTATTAAGTCATGAAGTTTGGAGTGAATCATTATCCTAAAATGTTGCACGCAAAGTGGAAAATAGGAAAACAGCTATCAAAATTTTCAGCGAAATGCACAAAGAAATTCCTGAAAAACATTGATGAGCCAACCAAACCACTCCCCCGCCATCTTCAGTGTGTAATTATTGATCTACATTTTACACACATTTTTATCCACAAAACAGGTGCAACATTTGTAGAATTTCCTGATCTAAATTTGTATTTATGTGATGAGGGACCATGCACAAAAGACATACCCTCATGAAAAAGAAAAGAAAAAAATGTCATGTCATCATGTCCATTTTTTTTTTTATTATTTTTTTTTAGTTTAGTTTTTTGTTTGTTTGTTTTTTGTATACTGTGGTCTTTCTTTATTTTTAGTTTTATTATTTTATTATTATTTTTTTTTATCAGGGACCATGCTGAAAAGACATAAGACATACCTTTGTAAAAAAGAAAAAAAATGTGTTTGTTGGTGGTGGTGGTGTTTTTTTTTTTTGTTTTTGTTTTTTTTGTATAGTGTGGGCTTTTTTTAATGCTTTTTTGTTTTGTTTTGTTTTGTTTCTTTTATTTATTTTTTATTATTTTATTTATTTTTAGTTTATTTATTTATTTTAGTTTGTTTTAGTTAGGTTAGGAGTTTTAGGTATTTGTGTCTTATTTTCATGTTTATTATTATTGTATTGTTTCATGTTTTACTTTATTGTCCTTAATTTAAAAAAAAAAAAAAAAAAAAAAAACATAAAAAAAAAAAAAACATTTAAAAAAAAAAAAAATGTCACGTGCCATATTTTAGCAAAAAGTCAGGTTTTTTACTTACAGTCCCTGCACAGATTGATGTCACAATTACAATAAATAAATATGTTTTGATTCACCAGCAGTACATTACCACATAATTACATTACTACATAATAACGTTTATCTCTTAAACTTTATCTTTTGAGAACATTTACAAGGACAGTAAAATGTAAAAACTGGAGTAATCAGATAACCCAATAATCAGATTTTGGTTGGAGTTTTGTTTACATGCACAAAAGAAACATCATGTGTGTGTTACTCAGTGAAGTTAAAACTAAAAATAACTCTTTCAATCTTTAACACTGCCACTTTAATGTTTGTGTTTTGTATCTCATGAGTTTGCCCTCTTTTAGACTTCACTTTGATGAACTTTATTGATTATTGATTTGGACGCATATAATATAATAATAAAAAGCAAAATTATAAATTGTGATAATAAACTCAAACTAAGTCGCAAAATGTTTCTTCTGGTCAAAACACAGGTGTGAACGTCTAGAAAGATTACAAGGTTATGTTTATGAGATTGAAGTGTTTACATGTTAATTAGATAATCGGTTTACTAGAACTCAGATAACAATTTTTGGTGCGTAAATATATCCAGTGTTTGTGTTGTTAATGTGCAACAGAGAAGGCCCTCCCTGCTCCCTCCCCTTCTCTCTGCACGTTATTCTCCTGTATCCACGCTCCTCTATCCACACTGTGTACTTTTACCTGCCCTACTCTGATCTGAATATGAAGAAACAGCTCTGGTCCCTGGCCCGTCTGACCCTCCCGGCGCTGGGTTTCGCCCTGACCTCCGGCGGGGTGTGCCTGGCCTTCCTCCACGAGCTGATGGTGGTTCCGAGTTACATCATGATCGCGCTGGGCTTCGTGTGCATGATCAGTGGGGTGTTCTGGAGCGTGTTCCTCAGTCTGAAGAGCAAGATGTACCACAGAGGAGCTCCCAGGCCTCGGATACACGTCTTCACTATAGACAGGTGAGAGAAATACTTGTGTAACTCTTCTGACACCTGCTCGTCTTTATGGAAATGTTATATTTTCTCCTACACTGAAGAATGTTTTGCAGTGACAGAATAAGCTAATCTTTATTATTTACTGTTTTTATTGCACTAAAATACACTGAAACCATGCCTTCTTACTGTAAGTCCTAGTTTCCATAGATCTGACTTGTAACATGGGTTGTATGTTTGGCTGTATGTTCCACAGTACGGCATTAATCTTATTTTTCTATAATGTTTTATACTGTAGCTGTTTTTATTGCTCAAAAATACCATTCTTAAATTGTGAGCGAGTTGCCTCTCCACACACATTTAACTTGTAACATGGACATGCTTAATGCAACACTGTGGAACATTCTAGTAAAAGTATTTCAGTGGAGATAAGCAGGTGCAGACTGTCCTCCTGAAAAGTTACAAAGTGCACTTTTACTTTAATATTCTGGGAAAACCTCTATACACATACACACATGTTCAATCCATATAATTGTTGATAATACAACACCTTTGTCTCAGATATATTTTAATACATGCAATTACAGTAAATAACAGACGATATAAATATATTTACAAATATATTTATAAAAAATTATTATAAAATTATTTCAATTATTATTTCAATTATATATTTTGGGGAATTATTGAACATTAAATATGTTGAGAATACTGTGAATAAACAGAATGAGCAGATTTAACATAATAAACATAATAAAAATAATAATAATAAAGAATCTATGCAGCAGCAGGACTGGAAAAAAAGAAATTGTATTCTTTATGTGCTTGAGCTGAATTTCGCCACACGGAGCTAAAAACATTATTGTCATTGTAGCTGCATGTAACTTTTAACATGTATCTAATGTACACTAATGTTTCTGTTAATGAACAAATCACAGGTGTTTGCATTTTACAGTAAATCATATTGTAGGTTGAAAAAACACAGTCATATTTTATTAGTATTACAATGTATTTTTCAACATACAGTATGATTTACTGCGGTTTAATTACAGTGTATAAGAACATATAATAATTATTTCTAAATTCTTACACAGTAGTACCTGCTTTGTAACCAGTGGACCATGTGTTGTTTATTTGTTTTGTTTGTAGACCCAGATCTTTCCCTCCATCATACGAGGAATCCCAGAGCACCCAGCACTGCCGGCCCCTCGAGTCCCCCCCTGAGTCTCCCTCTCCTCTGGTGCGTCCCTCTGAGGTGGTGCTGACGGTGGCCCCTCCTCTCTACAGCCCCGACAGCTCTGAAGCCCCAGACTGCACCTGGAGCTGGGAGCCTCCGCCCCGATACAGCCAGGTGGTGCAATGTCCCACCCCGTGACACCGTGACCCCTGACCCCTGACAGGTGCAGCACAGAATATGTTCAGGGTCCAGTGATGGAGATCCTCAGGTCCAGAGGAGAGGCCCAGACCCTGGTCTTGGTGTGGACAGTACTGTAGAAAGACAGACTCTGATGCACTATTTTGGACAATGCATGTTACAGTTACTTTAGTTTTGTGACCATTTTCTACTATATATGTTTACATTTTGCTCACACAGACTTTGTTGAATGTTGTATTGTGTATTGTATGTCACTTTATTTAAAAAAAAAAATAAAAATCTGTTTAAATATAATAATGGTCTGTGTAATGCCTCAGTTCTCCAAGTATTTTGCAATGTAGGGGTTATTAGTAAATTAAATCTTAATTTAAATTAAGATTGTACTGTTGTCTGATCTTTGTTATAATGCTGTTTCCTCATCACAAACAGACTCTGCATATTTTAGAGTCCTACCACTACATGATATCACAAGGTGGCACAGAGCATTTTGATGTAGACAGACTACATGCAGACTATATGCAGGATTACTCAAAAGTGTGAATGAAACAAAACACAACGCCAGGTCTGTTTTCTGATGAGGTAACATTATAGCACAGTTTAAAGCTCACAAGAGTCAATGTTGCGTAATTATCTATCACACAACTTCTGCTGAAATTACCCAACACCATAATACACTTCATGTGTCATTTTTTTACATTTCATTAAAATAACTTTGGCATTCACTCAGGTCTGGGTATACAGGGGTGCAAAAGTGCGCACTGCAACCTCTTTTAAAATATTTGTGCTTTGTTTGAGAAGGGTAATATAATGTAATGGAAGAGAGTTGTCTTTGCACTCTTTTAAAACTCAGCTTGATCTGCACCCAGGCCTGCTTCTACTCACATAAAATCAATTTCATTTGGAAAAATATAGGCCTATAAATACCTACCCATAATAATGCCAGTGGTAAATATATATATATGGTTTAACATGGCAGGCTGCGAGAGAAACTGAGAAAAACTATGTCTGAGCTCGAGGAAGGAATCCCTCTGCCCAAAATGCAATGCAGTCAGTTTACAGAAAGAGAGCACATGTTTCTAGAAGTTTAAATATTCATTTCAGAGAATAAATCTGTTGTCATATATTTTCTGGAAATCACTGGAATTGCCACAACAACATTAGATAAATGAAATAGCATTGCTCAGACTTACTTGACTCCCGAAAGCCTCACAAAAGTTTTAAAGGACCCATATTATGTCTCAGTTCTCCGCCTTGGTTCCGTAGGTTATTTTGTGTTATTTTATTATATTTTACACTGTGTTTTTAATCTCTATTGAGCGGTAGAGATTAAAAACATGGTAAAAAGTAGCTGTTAACTCAAAAACTACCACTACATGACATGATTTTGAGCTTTTGAGTTGTAGACTTACTCAAAAATGTGTGAATGAAACAAAACACAACTCTAGATATGTTTTTGAGGAGGCTTAAAGCTCACAAGAGTAAATTTTATGTAATATAGGACATTTAAAATAAGTTTTAAAATGTTAAATGTTTCTAAATTTAGCATAATTGTATGTATCTTTGTAGTTCTGCAGCCCAGGCTTTGTAAGAGGCCTGTACAAGTGCCCTCCCTCTCTCCATGATAAAGTCCACAGTTCCCACACTTTACTGCTGCTGTGCTCAGCCTGATCCTCCTGAAAACATCCGACTATGACTTCACGTCCCATAAAGGCAAATGATTACAGAGACAAGTGCAAAATTATGTAGTGTTTGTCAAGAGCGAAAACTACTAGTGTTTCAGTGGTTATCTAAATTCAATTAAAAGTACTTATTGATAAACCTATATAAATTTTCACTCACAGATGAAGTTAATTAGAATTTAAAGGCTCTATTTTACACAAAGCTGATGTAAAAATGTTGTTATCTCATCAAAAATATACCTGGAGTTGTGTTTTGTTTCATTCACACTCATTCATTGTGTTAGTTTTCAAGTGAACAGCTACATTTTACCTTTAGTTCAGTAGAGACTGGTCTGAAATGATCCAAATTATTCAAGTTCTTTTCAGTTCGAGAGAAGAGCTCAGCCTAAAAATGCAGAGTTTGTGTGTGCTGAACATGTGTGAATGAAACAAAACACAAATCCAGGCACGTTTGGGATCAGAAAAAAAAACATTATAACAGACACAAGAAAATATGGGTCCTTTAAAATACAAGGATATATTAGTATTACTATAAAAATATGACCATAGCTTGGTTTACTTTATTGATATTCGTATTAGTCCCCGAAGTCAGACTGTTAAACCAGAATATGGACCTGTGTGAAAAGTCTATCACATCAAAATATAAAGCTTAGTTCACTAGCAACAACGACATAGAGCGAAGAAGAAGTCGAGTTAGACCAGGGGTGTCAAACTCATTTTGTTCCGGGGGCCGTATCCAACCAACTTTGATCCCAAAGGGGCCGGATCAGAAAACTCATGGCATATAAACCCCAAAAATAACAATAAGTTCAAATATTTGTGCAGAGAAACACAAATCTATTACAGAAATCATTTTTTAAATTGATGAACTCTTTCTTATTATAATATTATAATATTATGAACAACCTGAAACTTTAAGAAAAATACAATTTCAGCACAAAGTTTTAACATGAACTTGTATGCAAACAGGAATAAGTCAATTTTTGTTGTAAAATCCTGCACTCGGCTCCACTTTTCTTATTTTGGACATTTTTCTGATGAGGGTGTCACGGTCAACAGTCAAAACGATCGTCCTTTAAGAGCGTTTGGAAAGAGACAAGTCTTCATTTGTGCTGCTCTGGTGGGAGGGGCCACGTACAGCGACTCTGCTCTAGTGGGAGGGGCCACGTACAGAGGCTCTGCTCTAGTGGGAGGGGCCACGTACAGAGGCTCTGCTCTGGTGGGAGGGGCCACGTACAGAGGCTCTGGAGACGCTGCTATGCTAAGCGACGTAGAAAATTACCAATATTTTAATAGAAAATATAATTAAAATATTTTAGTAGAAAATCACCCAAGGGCCACATTAAAGGTCTTGGAGGGCCGGATCTGGCCCCCGGGCCTTATGTTTGACACCTGTGAGTTAGACAAACTGGGATGATGGGAAAGACTGCTACAAATAGAGAAATTAGAGGCGTGGTGGAAATGAGTTGTGGTTCGCTGGGGAGGAGGAGAAGGTAGTTGAGGCGTGGTCCTGCATCTTAATTCATCATATTAACTATACATATTGAAGTTTTCAAAAAATACTGATGTTTTTGTTTTGGGGTGTGACACTAACTGTAGGTGCTGCTCTGTCTGAAGCTCTCTGAACTAATGGACTAATGTGTGTGGTCAACTTTACTAAAATGCAGAAGTACTAATATCAGTCAATTACCTGGATATTAACTACGGATGTAACGATATTCAAATCTCTCGATACGATATCATCACGATATGCATCTCACAGTATGATATTTATTGTGATATTTTGGAGACACTGATTTGTTTTGCTTTTAAAATATCTTGACAAGATTTTGGTGTGAATCATTGCCGTCATAATCCCAAGAATTCAAGTAAAAAACATATTTCTTCATGTTGCCTGCGCTGAAATGAATCATGGGATATGTAGTTCCCGATGTTTAGATGTTGCTTCTATAAAACCGTGTTTTTAAGCAAAGGAACTTGTAATTCGATATATTCAATGTTCCCACTCTTTTTCATGGACAAAATTTCAAAACTTTTCCATGACTTTACAGCACCTTCATGTGTAGAATTGATCCAACTTTTAGGGCTAAATATGAAATGTTAACCCTTTCCACTCACCTTATGGTTTGGTTTTATAGTTTTTTAACATTCAAAATACTGTCAGTGCATTTATTGTCGTCTTTTTTAAACAAAAGGCGATTACGTTCAGAAATAATCATAATAGCCTAATGATAACTTAACAGAACGATGTAGTTGCGTGAAAAAAATACTAAAATGTCTTCACTGAATTTACAAAATTTCATGATTATTAATTTCACTATTTTAAATTTCCATGACATTTTCAGGATTTCCATGACCGTGGGAACCCTTTGTATTGTGAAAGCCCACGATATTATTGTGAGACTTTTGACGATACAATATTATGATATTTTGGTTATTGTTACATCCCTAGTATTAACGATTATGGTTCATTATTAGGGGTGTAACAATATCATCTCAGTCTCACCATACGATATCGTCACGGTGTGAACCTCATGGTACGATATTTATTGCGATATCGTGGGAAAGCTCACGATATGATGGGGAGGCTCATGATTAGGGGTGTAACAATTTCCAAATCTCTCTGTTTTCACAATATGCATCTCACGGTATGATATTTATTGCAATATTTTGTGGAGGCAAACAAAACTGTTAATACACTAAGACTAAGAAGCACTTAGAACTTGTAGTCTGCACTGAAATGGAGCAAAGGATCATGGTCTATGTAGTTCCCCCTGTCTTTTTCTTACCTATTGTTGCACCATAACTCTTAATTTAAGCAAAGAGACTCGTAATTCGATATATTGTGATGGTCCATGATATTATTGTGAGAACTTTGACGATACGATATCACAATATTTCAGTTATTGTCACATCCCTAGTTATTAATTATGCACAATTACAAAAGATTTCAATTAGAAAAAATCATTAGGCACAACCATCATTGACCTATTGTGTGTGCATTGGGGTTTATTAAATGTATTAAGACATTTTGCGTGTACCTTTTAGTGATGCAAATTTGAAGCTCTGTAGTTTGAGTTGCTTTGACTTGTGCACCTTTGTGACGTGGAGCCCTTCTTGTTGCTGCACACATTCTTCACTGGGGCAGAGCGTGACATTATAAAGAGTTGAATGGGGCAATAATGTGTAATGGCTGACAGATAAAGAGAGTGAATACATCCAGGAGGATATCCACTGCACATTATACTGCCCTGTTAATGACACAATCTCAACTTTATGAGATCTGAGCCCATGCAGTAAAGATCTGGGCACTATCTGAAGTCTACAGCTACAGGCACAACCATCGGGCCTGAAACAAGAAGTGTCAGTGATTTCTACCATCATGGCTGTTTATTTTTGTGTTTGTGTAAAGGATCCATGTTACACTCTTCCAATCTATGTTATGTTTTTTTCCTTATCAAAATTATATCTGAAATTGTGTTTTGTTTCATTCACACGTTTAACACACACTTCTTCTCAAACAGAAAACACCATGTGGTAATACAGGAAGTGCTCCACTGTGTTTCAAACTCCATATAATGTCACTATAATCATAACTTCCGCCCTGAAATTGTCAATCTCTACTGAACAAAAGGTAAAAGGCAGCTGTTAACTTGAAAACTCCCAGTACATGTTACTTGTTTGAGGAGGTCTAATATGGCTTAAAGGGACAGTCCGGAATATTGGACATAGGGCCTCATTTCCTAGAGAGCCAGAGAGTTGAAGATGTGTGGAGACACTTTTTTAATTATTCCATCCAGTCCTTGTATTTGCAGAGGTCGCTGGTGCTAGGCTAGTGCATGTCAATGGCCATAGTTAGCCTGCCACTAAAAAGTCTTACCCACTCCACAAAACACTCAAAGCAAAGCTATTAATAGGCCAAACTATCAGTGTAAATGTCTGTGTTGATAGAATAACTTTAGAATTAAAATCAGCGTTGCATTTGAAGGATTTATGTCTGAGCAGCAGCAGTGAGTTGTACTTCCTGATAGAAAGCTTGACAGCGGCGGACTGATATATGAGAAAATAGTCCCTCAACATGCAGTGATTGATGTGATGCGAGGTTAGTTTTATTTCAAACATTTATCTATCAACACAGACATTTACATCAACAGTCTGGCGTAATAAAAGATTTGCTTTGGGTGTTTTGTGAAGTGGGCAAGACTGTTTTTAGTGACAGGATAACTATGGCCATTGACATGTGCTAGCCTAGCACCAGCGACCTCTGCAAATACAAGGACTGGATGGAATATTTTTAAAAGTGTCTCCACATGTCTCCAACATTCTGGATCACTAGGAAATGAGGTCCTATGTCCAAAATTCCAGACCGTCCCTTTAAGAGTCAGCTTTGCTTTTCTAGTGAAGGGTCCGCCTCATACTTGTCTCCATAGTCTAAAATGCTCTCATAAAGCTGAATTAAAGCAGCATTAATTGCCATATACTGGGGACAAATTTATCATAAAGAACCCACTTTTAGTCAAAGGATATGGCAACCCAAAGTGAGAAGCTCTGTCTGCATTGTGATTGGATAATTATTGTCAGAACCAAAACAAAAAATGTAAACATACAGTTCGATACAGAGTAAAATGTTGAAAGGCGTTAACTCATATCTGAAGAATCCTACAAACTGTATATTCCACTTTTAAATACTTTCAAAATCACAAAATGTTGAAGTATCCAATGCACACTCACATTTTTATTACGAGTGAAAGAGGGAATACATTGCAGACTAAAATCTCCTACACGAATGATTAAAGCGATATAACGTAGATACCCTTCGTTCACACATAAAAAACGACTCTTCAGCTGTTGTTTTTTTTTTTTTTTACATTTGTTCTTTAAAATGAAAACACAAAATATACAGTGACACATGTGAGAGCAGAGTTCAAACGTTATGACAGGTGAACAAAGTGAAAATGGCTGCACATAGACTTTGAAATATTGCAATTAAACAGCGTGTCAACCATTACATGACATAACATATTGAAAGAGCTAAAACGTATTAATTCATGACCAGGAAAATTACTTTTTTCTGTATTTTTCAGTGTGTTCAGTGAGTATTAGGAGAAGTGGTGGATGATATTGACAAAACTGTATATATATTTCTTTAGTTTCAATGTTCAATACTGCAAAAATATACATTAACTCTAAAATAGAGATGTAACGATATCCAAATCTCTCAGTACGATATTATCACGATATACATCTCAGGGTATGATATTTATTGTGAAATTTTGGAGAGATAGGATACTTTTTAGCTTTTAAAATACCCTGACTAAATTTTGGTGTGAATTATTACTGTCACAATCCCAAGAATTCAAGTAAAAAACATATACTTCATGTTGTCTGTACTGAAATGAATCATGGGATATGCAGTTCCTGATGTTTATTCGCTATAGACCTTTTTCAGAACAGCTGGAACTCCTGGTTAATGCTTTTCTACGGCAAAATATCTGTGGAAATGTCTTGCGTATTTTCCACCAGCTTCATAAATCTGCCCCATCACCAAATCTTCATTCAAGAAGGTTGAATTTATCCACAACTATCAAGGTAAGAAAGACGAAAACGTAAAGGTGAAAAATGACGGCGCATTAGTGAACTACTCCTGAGCAAAACTAATGTTACGGTCATGAATAAAACAGAAGTAATTCATTAATAAGTGACTTGTGAACTCAGACTGATTTTAGAATTAAAATTAAAAATAGATTTCATGATGTCGATATTAGCATAGACAGAGATTTGTGCAGTTTAAATGCTACGGATGTTCACAGATTACATGACGAGCATTTAAACTACACAAATCTCTGTCTATGTGAATATCTACATCATGAAATCAATTTTTAATTTCAACTCTAAAATCAGTCAGAGTTAACAAGTTACTTATGGTTTATTCATGACCATAATGTTAGTTTTGCTCAGAAGTAGTTCACTAATGCGTCATTGTTGTTCGCGCTTTATATTTTCATCTTTCTTACCTTGATAGTTGTGGATAAATTCTTCATGGACAGAATATGTCCTTGGTCGACCTTGTTGGATGAAGATTTGGTGATGGGGCAGATTTATGAAGCTGGTGGAAAATACACGAGACATTTCCACAGATATTTTGCCACAGAAAAGCATTAACCGGAAGTGACGTTTACCCAACACTGCGACATTTCCGGCCATTGTGAAAAAAGTCCATTTCTACTATAAAACAATGTATTTAAGCAAAGAAACCTGTAATTCAATATATTGTGACAGCCCAGGATATTATTGTGAGACTTGACAATACGATATCACGATATTTCAGTTATTGTTACATCCCTACTCTAAAATAAATTGTGAAAATTCACTTTATTATCCTTTAGCCATAGTAACTAAGCGTTCAAAAATACATATTTAATCTGAACCAGGTTTGAATGGACAAAAGTGCTCAAAATTGCGGCTACACACAGAAAAATGAGAACTAATAATAGTTATACCCATGTTTGAAGGATTACACTACAACATTTCTGTTCTTTTGATTTTTCAGCAACACTTTTTGCACCGTTTCATTTTATAGACGATATACAAATATTCAAAATTTGCATATTTTCAAAACATGACATGGCTTTTTGCAGTGCGGTGACCTTAGTGGCTGTTACCTGTTAGCTGAATGTAAATAAAGCAAAACTGTAAAATGTTCATAGTAAGTACATAGTTGTGCCCGGTACTGCAGATGCTAGTGCTAATGCTAACGCTAATGCTAATGCTAGTGGAGCTGGTGGTTCATGTGATCACGTTGGGGCCCCGGCGTCCAGTCCGTTCGTGAATATTGGAGATTTTTAGAGCGATGGCGATAAGAGGCCCCAGCACCACCTGAAGGAAACAACAAAAATATTCTCAATACACTCGTGTCCGTTAAGATAACTTAGGGCTGACGAGGAGAAAATTCAGTTTGTCGACTGGACAAAAGTTAGTTTTGGTTGAAGACGTTTCGCAGCTCATCCAAGCTGCTTCTTCAGTTCTGGTCAGAATGCTGCTGGACACTTCCTTATATCTCTCTGCAGGGAGGAGCTAACGAACTACTCTGAAACTAAGGCTATGTTCAGACTGCAGGGCTTAACGCTCAATTCGGATTTTTTTGTGAAATCCGATGTTTTTGCGAGGTCGTTCACATTTCCAATTAAATGCGACTTGTGTGTGTCTCCAGTGTGAACATTAAACGGCCCAAAAGTGTCCCGCATGTGCACTGGAGACACGATGACGTCAACAACAGCGAGCGTGCTCTGTGTTTACGGAAGTTATCCAAACATGGACATGAGCATTGAGCACCTCCCGATTTTAAAGTTCCTCTTGTACTGGAGCCAGAACATGAACAACTTACTTGTTTTAAAGAGGAGATTGAGAAGGAGAAGGACGAGGGTTTTGGTCGTGGTGTTTTGTGGGGCAGTGGCAGCAACGTCCGTAGAAAGGAACGTGTGGATGTGGAGACGTAGCCAAGAGTGGTGAGTGGTGATGTGCTTCGCTTCAGTGACACGGAGTTCATTAACAATTTTCATCTACTTCAGCGCAGAATAGTGACATGTGTGGCTTGTTGATAACGTGTAGGTCGGATGAATGCACTTTGGTCCTTCAGACTGAAGTCGCATGTCAAAAGATCTGATATGTATCGGTTTTAAGAGCACAGATCCAAGTGGCCTGGGTCGCATTTGAAAAAATTGGATCTGTGTCATTCAGACTGTCATTAAAAGATCAGATACAGGAGCATAGAGGCCAAAAAATCGGATTTGAGTCACTTCAGGCTGCAGTCTGAACATAGTCTAACACACCTACTTGTTTACAGTTTCTGTTTGTTAGTTAGGCCTATTGACCTGTACTGGAGAGCCACAATGGACCTCAGTCTGCTGTACATCTCCACTTGAAAGCCATTTGAGGACAGCGAAGTACAGATTTTAGCCAGAGAAAAGATTTGGTTTGAGAGGGGAGTGAAAGAAGACATTTTTGTTAAGAAAGAAAATCCTTCTCTAAACAGAAATGGAGGCCTCAGACACCATCTATCTCCTATTTACAACATCCTCAACCCTAAATCAAAACAAACAAGAGAACAACAGATGTAGCCAGGTCAGGTCCAGAGGTGTGGAAGCTCCGTTATGGCCCTGAACTGTTATGCTAATTAGACCCCACACCCTGCACAGGTCAATAGGCCGAACTAACAAACAGAAACTGTAAACAAGTAGTTGTGTTAGTTTCAGTTAGTGAGCTCCTCCCTTCAGGCAGATATAAGGAAGTGTCCAGCAGCATTCTGACCAGAACTGAAGAAGCAGCTTTGGATGAGCTGCAAAACATCTTCAACCAAATTAACTTTTGTCCAGTCTCCTCGCCATGGATTCTACCTAGACGACTGAGGGATTCTTCACACTAACTTTGGGCTGTACAATTATAATTTTACTCATATTTTTATTAGTTTATGTAGTATATTTTATGTTTAATTGATATTACACTATTTTCTGATCTGTTAAAGCTTTGTTTGATCATCAGAAACATACAGTACCTGGAGTTGTGTTTTGTTTCATTCACGTTTAACACACAAATCCTGCTTATTTAGGCTTCGGAATTCTTCTCTCAAACCGAAAATACTCTGTTCCACCTTGTGATGTCATGAGGTAATACGAGAAAAGCTGTACTAAGTTTTCCATACACCTTCACTAGAATTATTTGGATGATTTCAGCCCTGGAATTCGGGGACGGACTGGCAATCCGTACATTCTGGAGAAGGCCAGAATGGCGGTCCAGCTGTAGGACCGTTTGATTAAAGCGGAGCGCACCCGCGATCCCTGCTCCCGGTCCTCAGTTTTTCCGTGGGTAAATCCAGGGCCGTTTTTTTGGTCCCAGTCCGCCTCTGCTGGAATTGCTCAACTGAACAAAAGGTGAAAGACAGATGTAAACTTTAACTAATGTTTTATGACAAGCGCTTTGTGTTGCATTTTTGTATGAAAAGCGCTGTATGAATAAAGTTTGATTGATTGATTGATTGATTGACGTCACAATATGGAACAGAGCATTTTGAGCTTTGGAGACGCAGAGAAACTAATAATAAAGGATTAGTCATGTGTGAATGAAACAAAACACAACTCTAAGTATGTTTTTGAGGTGGTAACAACATTATAACATGGCTTAAACCTCACAAGAGTCAATTTTGCGTAATATAGGAGCTTTAAAGATGCACTGTCAGTTTTTTGGTGAGTGGGTGTGACCTGCTTGTCTCCATGAAGCTGTTACTGCTTTGTCATGAATGTTCCACATATCTTGCATTTACTCAATTACAGGTGCACTGCCTTCATGGATTCTTACTGTGAGTGAAACCTCCTCCCCGCAGATCTGACCTGTAACTTCTTGGCCTGGAGAAGTTTAATACCATACATACTATCCCTACGGACACAAGCAGACCACCAGAAAAGTTACATGATACAACTTTCAGTCATATTAATGGGGTTTTAATTGTGATTTTCTGCTCTTTCTCAAAACCTCTCATCTAATCTACAATGGATTTAAAAAAGAAATGATCTAGAATTCTCTTATCCAGGCTAACTACATAAATAATATCTTAAAATAATCATAATTTCACCAAAGATGTTAATTTCGTCCTGTACTCTGACTTCTTGGGTTTCTTTTTTTGATTTCAGTTCTGACCCAAATAGGTTTTTTTCCTGTCTTGTTTTCTTCCTACGCTTCTGTAAACACTGGACATGAACAAAGTTGAGCTATAAAGATAAGATCATTTAAAGAGATGTGAGCCGAGCTATCCTGGTTCATGTATGAGTTAACAGCCAAATGAAGAGTTTTACAGAGCAGTGGCCAAGTCCTGTTTTTCTATAATAGTTCACTCATAAACAAACACACTGTACTGTGGACATACTGACCTGAAACATTTCATTTTAGATTAACAATTATCTGAAATGAGAATACATCTTAAAAGGTCTATATTACACAGTTTTTTTTATCTATTTTATAATGTTTTCCTATCACAAACAGACCTGGAGTTGTGTTTTAGGCTGAGTTCTTCTCGCAAACAAACAAAAAAAAAACCTCAGTTCTACCTTGTGATGTCATGTGGTAATACAGGAAGTGCTCCATTGTGCTTTTAAACTCCATACGCCGTCACTAGAATCATTTGGATAAAGGAATAAAGGTGAATGGTAGTTATTAACCTGAAAACTACCACTACGTGACATCAAAAAAGTGGAGCATTTTGAGCTCTGGAGATGTAGACAGATAATTAAAATAATAATAAAGGAAAAATTCAAATATACTGTATGCGAATGAAACAAAACACAACTCCAAATATGTTTTTGAGAAGGTAACAATATTCTAACATGGCTTAAAGATCTCAAGAGACAATTTTGTGTAATATAAGACTTTTAAAACATGCATGTAGTACGTTTTTAGGTTCTTTTTTCAGACCAAGAGTTTGTTTTCATACCTGACAGTTTTTGACTTCCTCAGAGTGGTCACGTGATGTTGCCGTAACGTGTCCGGTCAGCTGATTTATACAGGTTTTGGCGCAGATTGGCTATTTTTTTCATCCTCAGCCACATCACAAAACTCATCATCCGTCCGCTATCCATGTGCACCCACGGCTTTTGACCAATTTTCAACACCGCGCCCGTAGAGTTTTTTATTTGAGAGGTTAAGGGCGAAGTATAGTTCTGCGTCGACTCAATGCACACTGCTGTTGTCGCCGTTGTTTTTGATTTATGGATCTGCGTCGAGGTCTATTCGCCGCCAAGTAATTCACCGCCACAACAATAGGAGGCAAGGATATATGTCCATTTATATATACAGTCTATGCGTATGACCTGCAGACGGACAATCATTCTCTGAAAAGTTTAACATGAACCATCTCCAACACGATAAAACACAAAACAGACTCAGCATTAGCGGATACCACTGGCTGTAACCGGCATCCGTGCATCTCTACTTCGTACCGGTGGAGGCAGGATGACAGTGCCATCTGCAGTCCCACTTCCTCAGGACAGTATCCGAAGTGTGTGTGAGAAAAAAAGCCCCCTCGTCCCGGTTTATAGTCCCATGGGCACGTTTCCGCATTTTGATTTTTAATCCAGTGACGATGTTTCTTTTCCTCTGTCCCAATTATGTTTTCTCCCAGTCCATAATGTGGTTGAGTTGTTCCTGTTCTGCTTTGTGTTTTGTTGCTCGTGTGCACACCTTCGGGATGAGTTTTTTTTTTTTTTTTTTACTCTCACACACCTGGGATACTGTCCTGAGGAAGTCAGACTGCAGATGGCGCTGTCGTCCTGCTTCCACCGGTAGGAAGACAGCGCCAAAACCTGTTCAAATCAGATGACCGGACATGTCACAGCAACATCACGTGACCACTCTGAGAAGGTATGAAAACAAACTCTTGGTCTGAAAAAAGAACCTAATAACATAAATTAAGAAGAAAATCGGAAGACCAGCTGAATCTCACTGAACTATGCATGTGGTACAATGAGACAAAAATGTATCTGTGGAGATAAATTAGTAAAATGTTTTCTAAAATCAGAACTGTGTGATGAATGCTTCTTGGCTGTCCTCGGATGATCCACCCTGCTTCACTTTACATGGAGATAGAGGACAGAGTTCAATACTGTGAAACACTGTTGGCAAAGCAGTAACATCGCCATGGAGACAATAACATTGCATATCCCTCACCAGAAAGGTTACGCAGTGAACTTTTCAAAGCACAAGAGCTACTTACAGTTACTTCTTCACTGTACCTGTGTCTCGCGGCTGTGTCTCTCGGGGTCCCGCTCAAAACTCTCGGCGTAAATACGGATAATGGCACCACAACCTCCGCCGCTCCCGCTCATCCGGAAAACCAACCGGGAAGACTCACTGAAGATGATCCTCAGACCCTGGACACATCACAACAAAGACAAATCTGAGTCCACTGATCTAATATTTATGGACGGCAAGAGTGCGGAGAGAAGCAATCACATGGCAGTGACAGAATGAGGTGACAGTCATTCTTTTCAAATTTGCAATACGATTTTTTTTTTTTTGTGTTTCTTCATATATGGCACAATACATATATGCATAGATTTACTTTTTTTTTTTTACATAAAATTAATCAATATAAGAATACATGAAAATAAATAATAACAACAACAACAATAATAATGATGATAATAATAATAATAATTCTAATAATAATAATTCTACTACTAATAATAAATCTACTACTACTACTACTACTATTAATACTACTCCTACTACTACTACTAATAATAATAATAATAAAGAAAAGTAATTAATTATTATAATTAATTTAGTCTAGTTTAATTTATAATTAATATTTTATATTAAGTAATTATTATAAAAATCAATAACAAAAATGAAGAAAAAAAATTAATAAAAAAACTTCTGAATAAACTAAATAAATAATAATAAATAAAAAAATTCAGTGAATAAATATATAAATATCAATAAATAAATAAATAATGAAAACTTAAAAATTTGCAGTAACATGTAATAACCACTAGAGGTCACCATTCTTCTACAAAAACCTTGAACTTCAGCCCTGTCCATACATGGGTTTCAGAATAATGAAAAAAATTTGCACTATTACTACAACAATTAACAATTTAAACCACATGAATAAATGAACTTGGTAAAATATAAAACTCAGCGGAACATTTTTTTCATCCTCATTATATTTACCTTTTACAACATGTGTATCAGTGATGCTTAAATGTGTATTATTACATCAGTGTCTCTTTCTTTTAGAAGTGAACTTGACTCAACTCCTACCCTGATATCTCTGCACAATAAAACTGGAATAACATGAGGTTTGTAAACAGGAGTTTGCATGTGCCTGGGTGAGTGGTACTGAGAGCCTCTGTCTGACAGGGACCAGATAAGACTAAAATAATGGAGATGAACCCGACTGTGGGGAATTCCAACGCTCCTCTGCCCTTCCTCTGAAAACACAACAGGAAATACAGTATGTTTTTGATCAGTTTTATTCTTTAAGCAGGGGGTACTTTTACTTCTATTGGGTATTAACTAACACGCAACATATTTAGATCACCATGTTGCTTTTTATTGTTTTCAAAATGCTCAAAAATCAGTCCGCTTTCTATCACAACACAACACATCGCATAAGGTTTGTGAAGTCGTAGTGCGTCATGCTTTTGTATATTTATGGACAATTCTAATGTGGGAACAAGGGTGACGTCGGCTTGTGGCCTGAGCAAAGGACAAACCTTACAGCTAACCGTAAATAGTGTTCGAATAATAGACGGTATATATATAAATGGACCTAGATAACCCTCTAGCCACAGAGTTACAAATAGGAAGTGACTATGGGCGCGAGATTGGACCTGGCTCTCATTGACTTAACAATGGAATAGTGTCGCCTCTCTCTCTGTGACTGCTGCTGGGAGCCTCGCCATGTTGGTATTAACCCGCTCTACGTGATCCTGGGGTTTTTATTTCACTATTTTGTCCGTAAATAAATTCCTATTCCTAATATGGAACTCAGTGGTGGAAGGCAACAAAGTAAAAGTAGTAAAGTTCAGTACTTAAGTCAAATATGTTGCTATTCATACTTTAGTTAGTAGATTTTAAAATGGATGCATTTTACTTTTGAGAGCAGATACCTGTACTTTCTACTTCACTATTTTTTTTTAAACATTTGTAGTTTGAGCAAACACAAATATACAAACAAAAACAGCTAAGAAAAAAATATTAAATCACTTCTTTCTGTTGAACAAATTCCCTTATGGCCCTGTTATGAGCTGTATGACAGTTGTAGTACATCCAGAACGCTGCAGCTCGGGTCCTAACTCGAACTAGGAAGTACGAGCACATAAGTCCTGTGCTCAGGTCTCTGCACTGGCTTCCTGTGGCTCAGAGAATAGACTTTAAAGCAGCTCTGCTTGTGTACAAGTCTCTCCGAGCACTTTGGCCGAGCACCAAAGTCCATCTGTGACATGTTAGTGTCATATGAACCATCTCGCACTCTGAGGACCTCAGGGACCGGCCTCCTGCTGGTGCCCAGAGTCTGGACTAAACAAGGGGAGTCAGAGTTTCAGGTTCATGCAGCTAAAACCTGGAACAGTCTTAGTGAACATGTGAGACAGACTCTTCTGTGACGCTGTTTAAATCCAGGCTCAAAACATTTCTGTTTAACTGTGCATATAACTGAAAGGTTTTCATTCCGCACTCTTCTCTCCAATTTATGTCTCTCTTTTTAAATTTTAATCTTTATGATTATTTATGTTTTGATTTGTTTTTATTATGATTTTAATGTATTTCTTATTCTGTAAAGCACTTTGAATTATTTTGTGTACGAATTGTGCTATACAAATAAACTTGCCTTGCCTTGCCACACCTTGACAAATGCCAACGTACCAAAATGTCCCTAAAACGCTGGATGGCAAAACTCTGAACTAGTGCTGTTCTTTTGTTGTTGTTGTTTTCAATTTTGGACATTTACATGACGTATTAGTAACTTATATAGAATGTTTTGATAACTTACATTAAACTTATACCAACTAATGCTTCGCGTGTTGCCAGCATCCACAACTTATGGCCAACGACGGCAGTGTACTGTATCGCTCGCATGTCGTCGCTTATAAAAACGCTGCCACTCGACGATTCATAACCGCAGTAAACATCGCAGTAGCAACATTAATCAGCAACAAGCCGAAGACAACTCTGAAGAACTCGGATGATCTGTGTAGCGGGTGGTACCACGGGGTCACCACTCACCATGAAGTCTGGAGGAGTACTGACGTTTTTCCCATTTTTATATACCTATCCCCCGAAACGCTGCCAATACACAATTACACGGAAGCTATAAGTTAGAAAGACGTTCAGTAAGTTCTGCGGTCGTCGAAACATGTCAAATACATCTGCATATGTCAAAATGTGTTGGAGGTAAGTTCGATATAAGTCACACATCGGTTCAAAGCACGTTACTCATAAGTTATGGGTAGACTAGACATTATCTCAATGTAAACACAACGGATTCCAGGCATTCCAAAAGAGTAGAAAAAGTTAAATATTTGCTTGAGGAAAAATATAGTTAAAAGGCCTTTATTTGAATGGCCAAAGCCTTAAATGGAGGTCTTCATCAGGGCTCCATTAAGCCCTGATGAAGACAGTTAAGGTCGAAACATGTTGGCTTTGGCCATTCAAATAAAGGCCTTTTAACTATATTTTTCCTCGTGTGATTTTTTAAAAACTTTTTCTACTTGTTTGAAGTTCCTGGAATCCATTGTGTTTGAGTTCTGATCCTTTTTCCAAGAGCACCCTCTACCTGCTCCCACTGACTGGAACACCTGCAGCAAACAGCCACATTTTTGTTCTTATTTTTGTATTATCTCAACGTATTTGGACTTATGAGAAACTTACAATTAACGTGTGTGAACGTGTGTCAACGATCGCACAACTTATGGACAGTGTTGGGAAGGTGACTTTTAAAATGTAATCCCCTACAGATGACAGATTACATACCCCAAAATGTAGTTTGTAACATAATCCATGAAGTTATTTAAGGTGAGTAATGTAATCTGAATACTTCGGATTACTTGATTTACAGTAGAGTAGCAAAGACTAGGATAGTTTAGACCTGGTTTTAGACCTGTTTTAGATCCGTTTTAGACATGGTTTAGATCTAGTTTAGACCTGGTTTAGATCTAGTTTAGACCTGGTTTTAGACCTGTTTTAGATCCGTTTTAGACATGGTTTAGATCTAGTTTAGACCTGGTTTTAGACCTGTTTTAGATCCGTTTTAGACATGGTTTAGATCTAGTTTAGACCTGGTTTAGATCTAGTTTAGACCTGGTTTTAGACCTGTTTTAGATCCGTTTTAGACATGGTTTAGATCTAGTTTAGACCTGGTTTAGATCTAGTTTAGACCTGGTTTTAGACCTGTTTTAGATCCGTTTTAGACATGGTTTAGATCTAGTTTAGACCTGGTTTAGATCTAGTTTAGACCTGGTTTTAGTCCTGGTTTTAGATCCGTTTTAGATCTAGTTTTTAGATCTAGTTTAGATCCTGGTTTTAGATCTAGTTTAGATCTAGTTTTAGACCTGGTTTTAGTCCTGGTTTAGATCTAGTTTAGACCTGGTTTAGTCCTGGTTTTAGTCTAGTTAGTTTTTAGACCTGGTTTAGTCCTAGTTTAGATCTAGTTTAGACCTGGTTTTAGTCCTGGTTTAGATCTAGGTTTAGTTCCTGGTTTTAGATCTAGTTTAGACCTGGTTTAGTCCTTAGTCCTGGTTTAGTCCTGGTTTAGACCTGGTTTAGTCCTGGTTTAGATCTAGTTTAGATCTAGTTTAGACCTGGTTTTAGTCCTGGTTTAGACCTGGTTTAGACCTGGTTTAAAAAAAAAAAAAAGGATATAGCCCAAAATGTGAAAACAAGAAAATACTGCCGTGTAATCCATTTATTTTAACAAAGTAACTGTAATCCAATTACCACTCACTGAAACAGTAACTGTGACTGAATACAGTTACTCATAGTTTGTACTCTGATTACGTAACTCCAGTACATGTAATCTGTTACTCCCCAACACTGCTTATGGACCACGTATGCAGAATTTTCAGCGTGCTCAAACATTTTTCGACGACCTTGCCGTGTATCGCCGTATGCCTCAGAATTTATACAAAACTTACCTATAACTTATTTGACGTAGGCCAACGTATTTGCCAAATTTTTCATACATCGGCATATGCTCTAAACCGTCAAATCTTCAAGGTGTGACAGCCCCTTTAATCCACGTCTTTATACAGCCTATGGTTTGAATAGGAGAGATCGCTAAATTACTCAAACCTGCATGGATGAAATACAGGATAAAAACCTCTTCAGTCGTGTTTTTGATGGGGAAATAACATTATAACACGGTAGA